AGTATCAGAAGTGCTAGTTTCATTCACAAAAAATTGATCATGTGAATTTGGTTGTGGTTGTGCTGGGAACTTACCTTTTTCTTGATGGCACGGGTCAATAGTCAACTTAGTGATTGCATTTCTAATATCTTCAGTAGCCTGAGTAGTTTGTCTATTAATATTTTTCTACTTATTTAGTATACTCATGATATCATTTATGGCCTGTGTGGTCTGATTGATAAAATTTTCCTGACTTTGCATCATTTGTGACAATGCCTCCTCAATTTCTTAGGAGGTGGAACATAGGGTGCAACATTAGAGGAATTTTGTTAAGGTGGTTGTGATGCATGCTTTTCATTCCTCCAACTAAAATTGGGATGATTCTTCCACTCCGGGTTGTATGTGTTTGAGTAAGGATTATTGTAAGGTTTTGAAAAAACATTTGCAGCATTTGCTTGATCATACAAGATTTCTTTTAAAACAGGTAATATTGGGNCATCATTTGTGACAATGCCTCCAAAATTTCTTAGGAGGTGGAACATAGGGTGCAACATTAGAGGAATTTTGTTAAGGTGGTTGTGATGCATGCTTTTCATTCCTCCAACTAAAATTGGGATGATTCTTCCACTCCGGGTTGTATGTGTTTGAGTAAGGATTATTGTAAGGTTTTGAAAAAACATTTGCAGCATTTGCTTGATCATGCAAGATTTTTTTTAAAACAGGTAATGTTGGACATTCCTTTATAGGATGTCCAGGGATCTCACAAACACTACACACCTCCTCTACAGGCACTGTGTCAACTTGATTAACCCTTTTGTACTCTATGACTTTTACCCTCCTAGCTAAGGTGGCAATTCTAGCTCCTAGGTCATCTTCTTCCCTCAGCTGGTATTTACCCCTATTAGATGATGAAGATTGTGCAGTTTTACCTTTAGGAGGTTCTTGGGATGTGGTATCCCAAGATTGTGCACTTTCAGCTAACTGATCTAAGTAGTCAAAGGCCTCGTCTGATTCCTTATTCATGAAATCACCATTACACATCATCTCAACAAATTGACGCAACTGTGGACTCAAACCCTCATAAAAGAAATTTATCACGCGCCAACTCTCATAACCGTGGTGTGGATAAGATGCAAGGTCTTGAAATCTTTTCCAACTTTGATAGAAATTTTCAGATTCTTTTTGACAAAAATTCATTATTTGCCTTTTTAAAAAGTTTGTGCGATGTGTGGGAAAATTTTTTTTCAGAAATTATTTTTGCATCTCAGGCCGTGTACCTATGGCCTTAGATCTAAGTGAATATAACCAAGTCTTAGCTTTTTTTTTTAATGAAAAAGGAAACAGCTTTAATCTGATTGTATTCACTGAGCCATTCTGATCATAGAACGTAGCACATACATCCTCAAATTCTCTAATGTGTAGATATGAATTTTTTGAATCTAGGCCAATAAATTTTGGGAGTAATGTAATCATGCTAGGTTTGAAAACAAAATTTATGGCATTTAATGGAAAGATAATGCATGATAGTGCAGTGTGGCGTGTAGGCTGTAAATATTCACGCAAAGTCCTACCCTAATTAGCTTTTAAATTATCCACGTCGTTTTCATCATGATTACTTACTCTATCAATATGATCCTCATGTTTGGGAAGATCATTTTGCCTATATTATTGTTAGGATTAGCCGCTATTGTGTGCGAAGAGTGATTTGAATCAGATGAACCAAATAGATTTTCAAACAGAGTATCTAAATCTTCTCTTATTAAACGACCACTTAAGTCACGATGCCAGGAATTCATAAAACAAATAAACAAACTAAATAAAACAGAAATCTAAATTAAACAGAAATAAAATAAATTGCAATAAAATGACTAAAATAAATAAAAATTAGAACGAAGTTATCGGATCTCCGAAGAATTGCAAATGCAGAAAACCTCAAAGATGCGATAACTCTTTGTTCTCCAATTCCTTGGCAACGGTGCCAAAAACATGCTACAACTTTAGAATTGATCACCCAAGTGCAAGTTGTCGCGAAGTAATATAATACTCGGAAGTCCGAGGTCGAACCACAGGGAATTGTAACAAAAAGCAATCACAGAAATACTAAAGAAAATTTGAGAGAACAATTTGTGTAAAAAATTGTTGAGTTGAAAATATTGATTGGAGATATTTAAACAATATAATAAAAATACTAGAGCATCAGGTATTCCCTCTCAATTCTATACAATAATGGTTAAAGACTCAAATCTTAACTTGAGACAAGAATCAGATGTCGGTTGATTCGAGTAAGAAATCAAGTAAGAAAACTAAAAGTTATAATCAAAAGATTATTCAGTAACCTGAATAATCATCCAATTATATTATTTTATGAAATAATGATAAATACCTCAAGCGTGGAATAACCAGTTATTTACTCGCAGAGAAATTCAAGCAATCGATGTACATGACACAACGACTCAAGGATTTTTACAAAATACAAACTTTGCTAAGAAATCAGAAGTTAAATTAATAAAACATCATAAATCATTAAGCACAGAGTCAATAACAGTACCGTACTTCATTGAGAGGTTTTTTCCTAGCCCTAGCTTAGCCTTCTAGCTAGACATAACGAACTAAAAAAAAAAAAAAAAGATGAAAAAAAGAATAATAATAATCTCTAAATGAGAATCCCTATTTATACTAATAATAAATTCTAAATACAAGTTGAAAGAAATTCTTTTCCAAAAAAGAAGTTTTGTAAGGTTAAATCTTGTGCATAAAATCTTTGGGACGCGGGTACAAAATATGTCCAGATTTCGAGCTTGAATTTTGCATATTTAGAGGTTGAATCACGAAAATTTCGTGAAATACACTTTTGTAGCCCGTTAAGTCTTCTTTTTAACCCCCAAAAATCAAGTAAATTGGATATCAGATTCAAAAGTTATGACCAAAATACTGAAGACGTTTCAAATCCTTTTCTTCTTAGACACTTTCCTAATTCAACTCTAAATGAGTTTTCTTCCAACTTGGACTCTTATAAGGGTTAAATTGTTGTCATATCTTCAAGTCTTCCAATCTCAATCTTGACTCTTCGATCCTTATCAGTTATCATTCTTCCTCTAGTGATTACTTCACTTGCATTATTTATTATTACTTTAAATCAACCAATTTACTTGCAAAATAAACCAAACAACTAGAAAAAGTATCAAATTAGAAAATCAAGGAATTTAACACATTTAATCACAAATAATATGCAATTAACCAATCATTAAATATAATTAAATAGCAATTTTGATGGTTAATCACTTCACACAACATGCTGTTGATAATTTCTCTCTATGCATCAGTGGTTCCTTCTCTGTGAGTTGAATTTTCTGGTAGCAGCTATCAGTTCTCTTCTTCTCTGCTGAGAACTTTGTTGGTAGCTTGAGATTGCATACTGTGTTTCAAATTGCCATTTTACCTCAATTACACAAAAGGTTGTATTGTTTGTTACAATGAAGAAAAAGAGGTGGCTTATGTGTTTCTCTTGACTTGCTTTCACCAACAATACAATACTATATATATAAAGCTATATAGTTATGAAGCATGGATACTTTGTTAAGGTCGACGTACCCGTATCGGATAAAATACTCTTAAGATGCTAAAGTATACGCATTTGATAGCATCATATGTATCCAATAATTAATAAAATATGTGGGTATTTTGTGGATACTTTTAAATGGAGCAAGATGTACAATTTTTAATTTTAATCTATACTCTCTTCTTTCGAGTTCACATACAATATAATACATCAACAAAATTCCATTTGATTTTAAAGGCACGAGTGCTTTTTAAGTATTNTTCTTTCGAGTTCACATACAATATAATACATCAACAAAATTCCATTTGATTTTAAAGGCACGAGTGCTTTTTAAGTATTATAAAGAAATGAATTAATTACACTATAATTTTAGAAATAAATTCTTGTAAACAAACCAACTAGTTAAAATGTTGGTTTTGATTCTTTTAATCGGTCACGTTCATTTTATAGATATATCATAATGAGATGATAGTACAGATTTTTCAAGGTAAAAATTGTTAATTTTGCTTACTATTGTTAAATAATTATTAAAAATTATAATTTTTAAATAGTTAAATAATAATAAAATATAAAATATATATTATTACAGACGTACCCTAGCCATACCCATATCTTATTTTTTTAGGTTTCGTCGTATCTAAATCATATCCGTATCCGTGCTTCCTAGCATTATAGTCATTCATGTTGGAGCATCCAACTGAACACTGATTAGCAATGAGTGGAGGAGCCCTTCAAGTAGATAAACCGATGTTGGTGGTCCTAATTATTCGATGTTGGGTTCAAGCTCTCTTAGTACACTCCTTCACATGGGACCCGGGCACGCACGCGGGGTCAATAAACAAATAAACAAGCAGCAAATAAACAACCGTGCATATTGAAAAATTCAATTGGGTAAAAGACTTGGCCACTGACCTCCCAAGGTCTAGCTCTGATAGCATGTTGAAGTATTAAACCTAAAACCAATTGACAATGAGTAGCCCCTCAAGTTTATAAACCAACCTTGGTGGTCCTAATTATTTGATGTGAAATACAAACTCTTTCAACAATTCTATCATCTGTTTTATAAAGATGTTGCCTCTTGATTCGCCATGCTTGGAATTATTATTTTACCCTGTAAAATGTCTGATTGGTAAGAATCTGTGAATCAGGTGGTCCAAATGTATTGGAAACATCGTCTCCAACAGTTTGGTTTTGCCTATTCTATTCTGGAAAAACTTGACTTTTTTTTGGTGGGATTGGGGGTCTTGTTGCACCTTTTTCTGTGTTTTTTCTTGTTTCTTCTGTTCTTGTTTTTTGGCATAGAGTTATTCTTATGCTGATCTTGTTGTGGTTAGCATGCATAGTTAGTTCATGTTTAGGCGATAGTCTGTATTATCCCCAATATTCTCTCTCTCTCTCGTTTTGCTGATAGTTGAAGTTTGTTAGTCTGATATGGAAAGAATTTGGCCATTTGCTCTTGTCAATGTTGCAGCGTGAATTAGTTCATTGCTCACATTATATACTTGCTTCGAAGAGAAACTCTGTCGCATTGTCTGCACTGCATAGTTCGTTCTTCCCAGCAGAAGTTAGTTCAGAATCAGCTACGACCTCCCTTAAAGGCTATACAGATGGTTACAAATCAGGCAGCGAAGCCATCCAAAGATCAGATGACATAACAGTCGACAGCACAGTTGCTGGTAAACGGTTTATAAAATTTCGCATGTCAATGGACAATGACAGAAAGATGGATGACAGCTCTTCCTCACAACAGATTTCTATGCAAAAACCTGGGGAGAGGGTATCTCTTTCTGGGAAGACAATCCCAAATAGGCCTTCATCTGTTGTGTCTTGCAACCTTTCAGATGATGGGGAGAAGCCATCAAATTATCGGAAGGTAAAAACTTTGCTGCATTGCTGATTGGTGTGTTTCCATTGTAACTTATATTGTTTTTAATTTTTGACCTCTCTCAAATGAAGATGTTGACTGGTTCTCATAAATAACTCAGCATACGGAAACCTTTGAAAAGGAGCTTGTAATGACATCTGATCAAGCATCTATGAAGAATCAGCGATTACCTAAAGGTTTTGTTTATGTGCCAATCCAATGCCTTTTGAAGGAGAAGGAAACTATTCCGGATGAATGTTCTGAAGGACCATCATAACGTCATTGGTAGACCTGGTGGGGCATCTCCTGTTGGGATTTCTGTCATCCCATCAAAGGCTGTCCTGGATAAATATTTTCTGCCTGTGCTCTGCTGCATTGTTGTGATTGGAAAAAAGAATGGTGCATTTAATACCAAGATAAGGTCTCTGCCCAGCCAGTGCATCCCTATTATCGGTAATTCTGATTAGGGTAAAGAAGTTATGGCATCATTGTTGTATATTCATTGTGAGAGAGAAGACTGTACAGTTGGTTAGGTTTTTCCCATTGTTGTATATCTGAAGGGCTGGAATTGCTTCTCTCTTTTGTTTTTTCTTTTTGTTTTCCCCCTCAGGTGATTGGGTGAAACAGAAGCTCAGCTTCTTGTAATCGTACACCAGAGTTAGGTGTTGCCTACTGTGCAGGCCCCGTAAAGTTAATGTATATACAGTGTCAACGCTCAAAGCAAATTGGTGCAGAATCAGATAGATAAAAGAGCATTTAATTTAGCTGTCAAAATGGTAGCAGATTGATTGGTCTTGCTCAGCTTTTAGTTTTTTGCGCTTTATGGATTCACTTACTTGTTTATGTAGAAAGTGTATAATTTTGATAGTTCTCCCTGACCGAAGCTTCCGCTGTGCCTCTTTCTGGTACTGTTTTTGGGTCTTGGTATTCTGCTTTAGTTTGTGGCAAACAAATTTCTTCTCCTTTTTTTTTTTTGTTGGGGTAGGGTTGTGGGTTCCCTTCCTGGCAGATATTTGACATTTGTTGGAGAATTTATATATATTTGGAAATTCATATGACTTAATTTTTTTCTGATGAAATGATATTTGTGATGCGTTTTTTAATGTTTTGCTCTTCTAGTTGTATTTTACCTTGCTTTGTTTTTTCTTTTTAAAGTTAGTGCCATGTAAGTGCAGATAAAGGATTTGTAGGATACTTGTGCTCTCTCATTCGTTTTGGATTTTCGGATCTTTCTTCTTCAATTCCAGGGAGACTTATGTTTGAATATATTTAGCTTATGAGATGCTATGGTGCCCAGTGATGGGCTCCTTGTGCGTTTTCTGCAGCATGTGTCTCAATGGACCTAGCAGTTTTTGGTAAAGGTACTGAAGGTGAGATCTTTCATTTGTAGACTCTTGCAGTGGTTATTCTCTTGTAAGGAAAAATTGCAAAGGTTGCTGTTTATAGATATTCCTTTTGACTCTAATTCTTCTGTCTTCACCTATTGATATTTTTCACTTGCCTGCGATGGTCATCCTCCCGATAGTTAGGCAGTTTAAGGTTGGAACACTTGTTCTTGTGATTTTCCTAGCTGCTTGGTGCTATATCTTATTTCACAAGTGGAAATTTGTTCCCTGGTTGCCTTTCGAAGTTCTAAATCTTCGTTGTTTCTTTATCTTTTGGTGGTTTGGTGAGTTGATTCAACTTAATTCTTTTGGTAAATATCACTCAGACCCCTTGACATTTAGTTTTATTATACAAACACCTCTTCACATTTTAAAAATTACACTAAGACCCCAATAGATGGATGACATTAGCGGTATTAACGAAAAGACTTTTTACCCTTTCTTTAATTACTCAAATCCATGTCAAGATCCAAACCCATTGCCCATGCCCAAGTCAACAACCATGACCTCGAATCCTTAACCCGTGATTATGCCTGAATCCCCTCCCCATCCCTGAATCCCCTCCCCATCCTTGAATCCCTGAACTTTCCCATCTGTGAATCCCCCTTGAGTAGTGGGATTAGGCGAAGGAAGGATGGTGCTCTCTCTCTCTCTCTCCGTATTACGGTGGTGGATGGAGGTATTTTTTTTTTTCTCTGCTAAATAAAGATGGAGGTGGTTGTTGCTAGTTTGGGTGGTGGTTTTTATGGTGGGGATTTTGGCGAGTAATTCAAAAGAGGATAAGGGTGTATTTCGAGTGACTGACTCGAAGGTGGGATGGTGGGTTTTTAGTGGTGTTCGTGGTGGTGGGTTTTGGAATGGTGGATTACGGTGGAATGGATAGTGGGTTTTGAAATGGTGAAGACGTTGGTAGAAGATTTTCGGTGATGTTGGGTGGTGGATTTTCGGTGGTGGTGGTCGTGGGTTTTGGAATGGTGGGGTTTTCGGTGGTGTGGGTGGTTGGTTTTTTGCAGCTGTGGGGGATTATGTATAGTAGTAGGGTAGTTAAGTAGAGGATTAAAACTAATTTGATATGATTAAGTAATTAATTTATAATTATGATTAATTTGGCATAATCAAATAATTTGAATTTTTTGGGATTGTGATTAGTGTGGTCATTAATTGTAAAGAGTTGTTTAATGATGAATTATTTTAGTCCTATATATAGATTTATTGCTATTTAAATATTTAATCAAATAGATTAGTGTAATAAAATAATTTAATTTGTTGTATCATTACTTATGAAAAATATAATTTGTGTATAACTGAAATAATTAAAAAAGGAAATGTAAAAAGAGAAGGGTATTTTTGGCATTTTAATTATTTTTTTATAAGANTGAAATAATTAAAAAAGGAAATGTAAAAAGAGAAGGGTATTTTTGGCATTTTAATTATTTTTTTATAAGATCAACCTTGATTGACTGTTAGTCTTCCTAACGTCTGTTAGGCCGAAGGGGTCTTATTAGTACAAGTTTCAAAATGTCAAGGGGTCTCAGTATATTTTCTAAAATGTGAGAAGATGTTCATATAATAAAATCAAACATTAGGGGGTGTGAGTGATATTTATCCTAATTCTTTTATTTCAATTTGATAGGTCCAAGAATCGTTCATGGGACTAATTATCACCGTTTGGGTCGAGCTCGTACGCGCTGGTCCCCTGGCTGGTTGAAACTGCAGATGCCCATAATGATAAGATAAGGAGCAATGCTACTTAAATTTAAAAATTAGACTTGATAATTATAATTATTGATTTCACTATGGGTCCTATCATTTATTGAGACCCACTACGTATTCAATAATTATTATTATCAAGTTTAATTTTTAAGTTCATGTAACATTATTCTAATGATAATAAGTACGAAAATATTACTATGTGCTAGGACTTCAGATAAATTACACGTGTCTATTAATTGTATGTTATTGTTAGGACTTCTCTTTGGTGAGAGTTTACTTGAGATGACTTTACGAGTTTGTCAAATTTCTCTTTACTCATTTCATTAAACAACACCTTATGTATTTATCTTCTTGGCAAAGAAAAGGAGAAAATTTCTTAGTTATTGCCACTCTGAGATCCAGGGCTTTGAATCATTTTGTTGTTGGTGACAAATTTGTGTGTTTATGTGTGTATATTTATCTATGTAATAAGGTAAATGGATTTTTGAATTTCACAGATAAATAAAGGTTCAGACAATTTCAAGACAAAACAAAAACATATCTTACGGACAGTCTTAACAAAAAAAACGACTGAAATCATTTCATAATTTATGATCCAATAAAACAAATTAAGTCTTGAAATATTTTTTCCCGNAAACATATCTTACGGACAGTCTTAACAAAAAAAACGACTGAAATCATTTCATAATTTTTGATCCAATAAAACAAATTAAGTCTTGAAATATTTTTTCCATCCTATGACACTTTCTATTTTTGAATCCCAAAAACTCATGCACCTCGATTACACGTTTTCTCTCATCCCTGTCCCTTGTCTCTATGGTCTCTCGATTCTTCTCCGTAATTTCCCAACTCTCTCTCTCTCTCCCCCCCAATTCAAAAATAGCTTTACCCAATTTCTCTCTCCAGCAAGCCTCTATCTTCTCGCCCTTTTCTCTCTAGTTTCNCCCAAAAACTCATGCACCTCGATTACACGTTTTCTCTCATCCCTGTCCCTTGTCTCTATGGTCTCTCGATTCTTCTCCGTAATTTCCCAACTCTCTCTCTCTCTCCCCCAATTCAAAAATAGCTTTACCCAATTTCTCTCTCCAGCAAGCCTCTATCTTCTCGCCCTTTTCTCTCTAGTTTCTCTTTCTTTCTCTTTTCATCCCTTTCTCAAATCTCTTTCATTACCCTTCACTTCGGCGACCCTCCTCCCACACGCATGCACACAACCTCCTTTTATCGTTATTGCTCAGTCACTGTCGCTGCCTAGCCCATCGCCATTGACCCTTCCCCCCACTAGTATCCTCCACCATTCCATCGACACAAGTATCTCTATCTCTCTTTCTTCCTCTCTCTCCCTTCTCTGATTCCTCACTTGAGCCATTTAGTGTGTACTACGACCATCCACACCTAGCGACTCNCTCCTCCCACACGCATGCACACAACCTCCTTTTATCGTTATTGCTCAGTCACTGTCGTTGCCTAGCCCATCGCCATTGACCCTTCCCCCCACTAGTATCCTCCACCATTCCATCGACACAAGCATCTCTATCTCTCTTTCTTCCTCTCTCTCCCTTCTCTGATTCCTCACTTGAGCCACTTAGTGTGTACTACGACCATCCACACCTAGCGACTCTGGAAACTACCCAGGTTGGTCCTTCTTTCTCTCTCTCTCCCTAATCCCCCTCACACCCAAAAACGTCTCTGTAAACGCAACACAACACATAACATCCCCCCCCCCCAAACAATACCCATTCCATGGATCTCATTAGCCTCTCCAATAAGGCAGGAGCCACTACTGGTAGCCCATTGGTACCAAGGATCTCAACCACTATAGGAACAGGACCAATGTGCAAGAAAACAAGTCTCTTAGGAGGAATCAACCTCTTAAAAGGCTTTGGACCTCCATCCACATCACTAATTATCCTCGTCAGATCAGATAGGCTCAATGGAGGCCTCTCCACTATAAAAGCTGGCAATGAAGAATAGGTTATAAGCAAAAAAAAAAGCTTCCACATAAAGAGATGNGAGGCCTCTCCAATATAAAAGCTGGCAATGAAGAATAGGTTATAAGCAAAAAAAAAAAGCTTCCACATAAAGAGATACAAATGAAACTTTTACTCACTCATGTTGGTAGGGGTATCCCAAAGTTAGGGAACGTGAAGAGCTTCTATTGCAGCTGCCTTAAACTCCTAGGCATCTCCTAAGACAAGGAAGAAATTACCCTCCCAACTAGCAGGAGGATTAGGAAGATCAGAAATTAGCTTAAGCATCCTGCCTCTCCTGACAAATTGGTGGAAGTCTTGGTAAGTAGGAGCCAAGCGAAAAAGATTGATAAACTCGACCACGGTTGGAGAATCTCCTAGCCCTATCAGATGCTAGAAGTCCATAATGCCAACCAAGATGCCCTATCACTCCATGAAGACCCGGGCGAGGTATCAATTGAAAAGGCGAAGGACAACCTTGATGATTGGGGGTAGAGGAAACTGAAGACCAGCCTCAAAGACGTACTCAAAGAAGAAGATTCTTCTCACAGAATAAGTATTGCAGGGAAATTCTAGAGGGGGGATATGAACTAGGACCCCAATAAGAAAACCGTAACATTCCATGATGCCTGTCAGACAATCCATGGTCATATCGCTAGGTACTCAGAGGTTAGCCCAAGCAAGATCCATTCCACAAAAGAGTCTAATTTGTGCCTGTCACAAAGTAGCATCCATAACAAGAGAAGAAATGGGACTGCAAGCTGCAAAGGAATTCTATAAGAAGAAGATCTCAAGATGACGGTTATTTAGTTTGATCGCCTCCTAAATCTTCCTTGTTGGATT